GCCCACCTTGCTGTACAGTTTGTGTTGGTCTTCCTCTAGTCCTTCATCAGTGGTCACAGGACTGCCCACAGGACGCTGTTGGCTGGATATTTTTGGTCGGTGGACTATTCTCAGTCGAGTGGTGACACTGAGGTGTTTAAAAACTCCAGCAGCACTGCTGTGTCTGATCCACTCAGACCAGCACAACACACACTAACACACCACCACCACATCAGTGTTACTGCAGTGCTGAGAATGATCCACCATTCTCAAAAAATACCTGCTCTGTGAGGGTCCTGTGGGGGTCCTGAAGAAGAGGGTAACAAAGCATGCAGAGAAACAGATGAACTACAGTCTGTAACTGTAGAACTACAAAGTGCACCTATTTGGTAAGTGGAGCTGATAAAATGGACACCGAGTGTAGAAACAAGGAGCCGGTTTGAATGTTATGGCCAATCATTGTAACTAAAACAAAGGCCCAGTCATGGTAGCGTTTAGAAAATCTGAGTCATTAAGAATTTTGTATCTCACACTTTAACTTTGTTGAACTCTGATATACAGGTCTGCAATCTTCCTGACTGACTACAAATGACTCGACTATAGAGAGTACAGGATCAGTCAGGAGCTGCGTTAGAAAGAAAGAAAGAAAGAAAGAAAGAAAGAAAGGACAGAAGTAATAAAGATAAAGAAAGTATAGAGATAAATGATAAAAAGAAGAAAACAAACGGAGCCCTGCTGGTGATACCCTGTGTAAATGAAAATAATGTGAGGCCATGCCCTAGCAAGACATGGGAACAAGATAATTAAGTTGTGGCCACGACTTAGTAAGGTGTGGGAATGAGATTCTAATGCGTAACCAGGACTTACTAAGGCGTGGGAATGAGATAATTAAGCCATGGCCACGGCCTAATAAGACACAATCTCGTTCCCATGCCTTACTAAGTCATGGCCATGCATTATGATCTTGTTCCCACACGTTAATAAAGCATTACCACACATTATTTTTATTTATATGGGATGTCACCAGCATGAATCCGTAAAAAAATGAATGAAAACAAAGAAAAGAAAAAAAAAGGAAGAAGGAAAGAAACAACAATTAAAAGGATAAAAAGCAGGGAAAAAATTTGGAATGAATGACAAGAATCAATAAAAAAGGTATCATGAGAGAAGAAAGAAAGGAAGGAAAGATAGAATGAGTAAAGAATGAAAGGATAAAAGAAGAAAATGATTGGAAAATGGCAAAAGAATGAATAAAAATATAAAATCAAAAGAAAGAGAACAGAATGAACAATAAAAAGAAGAAAGTAAGAAAAAAAATGATGAAGGAGAAATGAAGAAATGAAAGTATAACATGGAAAAAAAAAGCAAGCGAAAGAAAAGATTTTTTTAAAAATATTAAAAAATTTAAAATGGAAAGCTGTGAATCACTGCTAAACCGCTCACTGTGTGAAAAAGGTTTCTGGCTCCAGCTGGTTTTGCAGTCAGATGTGAAGGGCAGATGCTTAGTGTGACTGAGGAGTCGGCCTTTAATTCCCTTCTGGATCTTTAATACTCTTCACACTTTAAACTGGCCATTATTAGCATTAGCTAATAACAGATGTATTGATAATTATCGACGGTGAACGACCAGGAAAAAGACTTTGAATGATTTTTTTATTCATATATGATTCGTATGTTTTTTGCCATGTTGCCGCGACCTCGTCTCCACCGCCACCACTGTTCAGATGGTGACCAGTGGACCATCTCACACACACACGCACCCCGTTTACTCTCCGAATTGAAGGCATACATCTGGATTTAGCAGGATGACAGAGCCGAGACAGAAAGGTCGCGACCTTGGTTTATCCACAGGCCTGTTCACGCTTTATATCGCTTCATTTCAAACAGCTTTATAAATCATCTCATAGACGAAACCCACACACAGGTCAACACAGCCAGACAGCCAACGCCGAGATCTTTCACACATCCGCACACAGCGGACTTTGTTTTTGTTTTCATTCTCTTTCTTCTCCTCCTCTTTCAGCTCCTAATCAAACGGACCTGAAGCTTTAAATGGCGACTGGTGAATTAGCGCCGTGGAAACAGGAGACTATCATCATCTAATTATCAGCATGAATAGGACGTCTGATTACAAAATTATCCAATTTCATCTAAGACGTTATCAAAGGGAGGATTCGGCACGTAATGACACCTTACAGGCTGCCTAATTAATCAGACGGGCCCAAACGGATTCTCTTGTGCTGCTGTCGACGCTTCATCCGCTCTAATGCAGGGTCATTCAATCTCATTCAATCCAGCCGTATTTGTACAGGGTCCATTTTTTATGCCTGTAATGAGACACTGTCGGTCTGACGTTCTGCACAGCGCGCTTGATGTCAGAAAGTGAATGTTAAACGACAGGAGGAATGTGGGAGACAGAAAACGGTGATGGAGAAATTCTTATGCATCCTAAAGCGTGTCTGTAAGAGACTCTGACTCTTAACATAAAGCCTCTTTAGAGGAAAAGCTAAACAATTTCAAACGTCTAAGACCTGTTACTGTCACGGTTCGCTATACTATTTAAACAGAATTATACAATCACACAACTAATTACATAGTTAGGGTCGTATGCAAAAAGTTTGGGTGCCCCTCATCAAATTCCGTGTTTTGTTGTTGCATTAAAAAATGCAGAAAAATGTCATGTTTAAGTGTGTTCTCTGTAGAAGACGTGTTCACATATTTTCAAATAAAAACGTGACTTGACTGAGGATGTTTAAACTTTTGCATACAATTTACATTCAAAACGTTATCTTGGCATCTTGCTGTTTGTTTGTGTGTCAACAGATAATATAAATGTATCATGTAAAGGATGCTTTTCTTTCTGAAAAGAAGGACTGTAGAGACAACAAACTTACATCAAATTCAATTCATAATAAAATATCTCATAAATGGTTAGTATATATATATATATATATACACACCGATAAGCCATGACATTAAGACCACTTTCTTGTTTTTACACTCATTGTCTATTTTATCAGCTCCACTTACCATGTATGTGTGACGCTGACGTCATGGTGGTGTGTTAGTGCGTGTTGTGCTGGTGCGAGTGGATCAGACACAGAAGTGCTGCTGGAGTTTTTAAACACCTCAGTGTCACTGCTGGACTGAGAATAGTCCACCAACCAAAAATATCCAGCCAACAGCGTCCTGTGGCCACTAATGAAGGACTAGAGGATGAACAACACAAACTGTGCAGCAACAGATGAGCTACTGTCTCTGATCAACATTTTCCATCAGTGAGCTCAGTTTAAAATGTCCATGATAAATTAGCATGTTAGCCAGTGTGACTCGAGTAGAAGGTAATGATGGACACTGAGCTAACTAGCATGCTAATGTCAGCCATTCATAATGTACTAGATAGATATCTAAATATAAACCGTCTATGATGTCAGTTCATTTAAGCTAAATGTAACTAGACGTCAACGTTGTTGAGGCGGTGAGGTTGTTCAGTATTGTGGTTGCAAAAGTGGTTGTTTTGACAAGCATTTGATGTTTTGCTGGCACTTTGTATTCTCTGCCTTGTTGAAAAGCTTGTTCTGATTCCTGCATGTCGTACAGTCTTTTTACAGAAAGGTTTTATCATGATTTGCCATTATTTGATGTCAAAACACAAGGTGGAAAGTGTAAACTTCAACCTGTCAATATGGAACGTAAATCCAATCTAACTATGGCATTACATTTAACATTACATACTATAAATCAAAGTACATAATGTATAGCAAAATTACAGTAATAACTTGAGACGTGTAAGGCTTTATTTTAGGCCTCTTACAATTCCAAAAGCTAAAAAAAACACCCTTTCCTTACAGACTTCCAGACAACACCATATATGTCCTTTAATCTTTACTCAGTTTTCTCTCTTTTTACAATAAATGTATTTTTAATGCTTATTATTTTATTATCTGGATCAGACGTGGCTCTGTAGACCATCAGGTTACAGCTTTGTGATTGAGAAATAGATATGTCACATTTCTCCCCACGTCAGAAAACCCCCTGATGTGATTGGCTGAAGGAGCTGTCAGTCAGAAAGCTCCACTGATGCTTCTCTGACAACTCTGCACGACCCCCTTTCCCACCGAGACACATCGCTCTGCTCAGAGATCTGATCCATGACCACATGCACACGGAATAGAGTCTCGCTCGTTCCCTGTCAAATTCCAAACCCTCCACAGCAACACCATTTCTCACACACACACACACACACACACACACACACATATATATATATATGTACACACACACCCCCGCAGTTCTCGCGTTTCATTACCTCCAAAGCAGCAGCATTAATAAATCCACACTTTCGTAAAGTCATTATAGCTCTCGGCCTCTCCTGAGTGGCCGGCCTCTGGCGGCCGCTTATGAATATTCATGCGCGTGTAGATGGCCGGGGTTAATACTGCACTACTCGGCCCGGTGCCTCTCCGCTCTGCCCATAATGCTGCTCAACCTGCAGAGCACCTGACACTCTCTGATAATGCGCTCGAACCTATAATGCTAACGAGAATACCACCTTTTAATGCTAATAAGTAATAGCAAACTCTACACCACCCTCCAGTACTAATTAGATACACCAATCTGTACGGCCCTCAGTGTTTAATGCTAATAAGGAATACTAAACACGATGTACTGCCTTCTTTAATCTTTTCTAGATCACTGTACCGGCACACTTCCATCAGTGTTCACTGGTTTTATATGTATCATTTTTAAATTGAAATTTCAGGATTTCCTGCTATATTAGGATCTGTTATTCAGAGCAATAATGACTGCCTCATTTAAAAGATAAGCACCGAATGTCTAAATGCTAGCAAATCTGTGGGTCCTCACCTTCAAAGCATTTGCTAACGCTACTAAGAAAAAAACAAGCGCACAGTCTACCTGGATTCTAAGATCGATGAGCAGAAGGAGGAATAAAGCTATGGCAACATACCAGCAGACATGTTTTAGGGGTCCTCAGGAGTGAGTGGTGTATTCACACTTACTTGATGTTGTCCAGGCAGCCGGAGTCAGGCTTCAGTATGGCCGTGTGATGGAACATTTTGTAGAGAGCGATGCCCAGGAAGATGACGTTCAGCTTGGAGAAAATACATATCAGGTCATAAGTCATCAGCAGGAGAATATGACCTCTATCTAACCATGATATGACTATAAATATAATCCTAGACTGTAGTCATGCATTAGCAATGCTTCATATTTTCAAAGAGCAGAAAAATAGATGCTACAGATGCACATTCCCTTTTTCTGTAAAAAATTGTTTCCATATGTTGTCTGCATCTGACCATGTAGCCATTGTTAAAAGATATTTAATATAATAAACCTCTTATATAAATAAAAATATTGCTCACAAAAATCATTAAAGGGAATTATGGGATATGTGTGCTAATAAGCTGGGTTAATTAACAGGTGTTTACCATAATGATGAGGGTGGCAGGCCCTATAAAACTCCAGATGAAGTACGTGTCCAGACGCAACCAGCACCTGAATAAGAGAAAAAAGGGGAGTTAAACTCACCCTGGCAACCCCGCCTACCACCCCTTACGTGCCCATCTCGCCGTCCTCTCTGTATGCGTAATGCAATGGAGGTCACATCAGCAATAGCAGGCGGCTGGAAAGGCTCAGAGTTTTTTCTCCTGCCATGTGAGCCCCCACACGGGGCTGATACATGAGCGCTCGTTAAATTATTCAGCCGCTAATTTCCGCTGCATTAGAGCCGCCATCACTCCCACCAAATCCTCCTCCAGCTCACTCTAACACGGCCCTGACACTCTCAGCATCGGTCATCAATTCACAATGAGATAACTGCAGCTTTATGCAATTCCACATAGTTATTCCCACAATTCTACACACATTTCAACAGAACTCCACGCAGAGCTAATCAGCTGCACTCCAACATTATGGAGCGTTAATGCAACACAGTTCTGTTCGGTTCAACAGAGCAGACTGCTTACAATTCAACACACAATTCATTTGCTGCACACTATCATTAAAGGACATGAATCCCAGGCATTTAAAAGCTAATCTGATTTCTACTGAGTTTACAGACTACAATTAAACACTACTCCACATAAAGTGAACTGTATCTTTAAAGACATGCTCCGCCCATGTTTTTGCATTGCAACATCCCATTTCACATAAAGAAAAATTGTAAACAACTGTTTTGGCAAAATACCCAAATTTGGAATGTTATTTTCAACAATCAATTCAAATTTCAAACTCACTAAACTCTATTTAGAACTCCACACAGCTCTATACAACTTAATCTGGGCATGTACACTACTCTTTACAACTATGTAAGGATTTCTACACAATTCAATCCATATACATCTATCTGGAATAAGCCACATACCTCACTACAGCTCTATACAATTCTATACAGAAGTCATGCAAATCTATATAGCACCCTACACAACCCAGTACAATTCTATAAAGAACTTCAAGAACTCATTACGAAACGTGCAACTCTATCTTGAACTCAACATGTCAGTCCAACTCTTTACAACTCTATAAAACTCTATGCAGCCCAATACAGTTCTATACTGAAATTCACACGACTTGATACAATATAACTCTATACAGAACTTTACACAACTCAATACAACTCTGTGTGAAACTCAGTATCACTCTACAACACTATACGAGACACTTTACAATCCAATATACCTCAATATAGAACACCACACAACCCAATTCAATACACCAGTACAACTCTATACAACTCTATATGGAACTTCACACAACTCAATACAACTCGACACAACGCCACACAACTCGATACAACTCAACACAACTCTATGAGGAACTTCACACAACTCTGTACAACTCTATATTGAACTCAATACATCAATACAACTTTATAAGGAACTCCACACATCTATACAATTCTACATGGAACTCCACACAACTCAATACAACACTACGTAACTCCATATGGAACTCAATGCATCAATACAACTCTACACAACTCTGTATGGAACTCCACATAATACAACACTGCAACTCTATATGGAACTCAATGCATCAATACAACTCTATACAACTCTATATGGAACTCCACACAACTCAATACAAGTCCACACACACTCTATATTGAATTCAATACATAATACAACTCTATATGGAGCTCCACACAACTCATCACAACTCTATACAACTCTATAAGGAACTCAATACACCTATACAACTCTATATGGAACTCCACACAACTCAATACAACTCAACTCTGTATGGAACTGAATACATTAGTACAATTTTAAACAACTATACATTTGGAACTCCTCTAAGTCAATACAACTTTACACAACACAATGTTAATGAATCACTAATTATTATTATTATTGTACATGGATTATTGCCAATTTCTCACTAGTCACTTAATGTAATTCAACACACCTCTACTTTGAGTTCAATAGCACAATGCACTGCACCTTATATCTCTAAAAAATAAAAAGGGCTATACAAGCAAATTTGAATTTAAATAAATCCTGACCAGATGATGCCCCACCGACATCAATTCTGCAGATGATTGCAATGTAGTGCATTTTTATTTGCTGTAATCAAGCACAATTCTTTACAGTTGAGCTGCACTGAACTGCGGTCGCATAAAGAAATGCCCCATGCAGCGAAAACACACCATCTCTATAAATACACAACAGAGAGGAACAGAGTGTTTCTTTTTGTCCTCTGGTTGAGATGTGAATCGTTCACAAGAACAGTTATGAACAAAAGGAATGGAAGTGTGGTGTAAGATCAAAGTGTGTTCACACACAGCCCCCCCACCCCCACCCCCCACATACACACTCCACTTTACTGCCAGCTGCAATATGTCTTCAAAGCCTGGCTAAGCACTTATTATGAGTTATGTTGAATGGAGAGCTGTTTCTCTCCACTGTCTTCAGATCAGAGAGGGAATATTTAAAGGAGTGTCAGCAGTGTTCTGTGTGTGTGTGTGTGTGTGTGTGTGTGTGTGTGTGTGTGTGTGTGTGTATCTCGTCTCTTTGCTGTGACAGAGTTTATGCTTCTGTGTTTCTATTTCTGTCTGAATATGTTTTTCTGTGCGACTGTGTGTGTGTGTGTGTGTGTGTGTGTGTGTGTATGTGTGTGTGTGTTTCAGTAAACTCTGGTACAGAACCAGAAGAAAAAAGAGTCTTTTTTCTGGCTGTGTTCAACCTCACTTCTCTAGGTACAATGTGTGTGTGTATGTGTGTGTGTGTGTGTGTGTGTGTGTGTGTGTGCGTGTGTGTGTGGGGCTAATGATGAAGTAGTGAAGTTGGCTGTCTGGTCATCGCCTCCCAGTGGTTCGTTTTGATTTGGACTGTTGCTAATGAGCTATCTCTCTCTCTCTCCCTTTCGTTCTCTATCTCTCTCGCTCTCTCTCTGTTCCATACACACGCCTGGAGCAGTGCACAGGGACAGGTGTTGCTGGCTTTGTAGTGCAGAGAAGGTGCTTCGCTTTTGGTTCTGTACCAAAATGTGATTAAACACAAACACAAATACACACACACACACACACACACACACACATTGAACAGTCTAGGTCATTACACAGCGTGAATAAACAGCGCATAATAATGAAATATGTGCACACAATTATTTCACATCAAAGTTTTACACGCCAGATGAGACACGATTTTTTAGGGAAATAAACAAATGTGTGAGCAGAATGTCTGGAAGTGACAATAAGGTTTATCCACCAGAGTGAAAGTGAAGGAAGCATAAATATTTATTTATAGATATATCTATATACACTTGCTAAGCATTTTTTTGGGTGCACCTACCATGTATCTACATTTATCGCCCATCTTATCAGCTTCACTTACCATATAGATGCATATACAGTTACAGACTATAGTCCATCTGTTTCTCTGCTTCTTATCACACATTCACCCTGTTACTCAATGATCTGGACCCCCACAGGACATTGATGGGGTGGCATGTTAGTGTGTTAGTATCCAGCCAACAGCATCCTTTGACCACTGATGAGGGACTAGAGGATGTCCAACACAAACTGTGCAGCAAAAGATGAGCTACTGTCTCTGATGTTACATCTACAAGTTGGACCAACAGGGTCGGAGTGTCTAATAGAGTGGACAGTGAGTGGACAAGTGTTTAAAAACTCCAGCAGCACTGCTGTGTCAGATCCACTCGTACCAGCACGACAAACACTAACACACCACCACCACGTTCGTGTCACTGCAGTGCTGAGAATGATCCACCACCCAAATAATACCTGCTCTGTGGTGGTCCTGTGGGGGACCTGACTGTTGATAAATGCGGTAAAGGTATGATAAAGTATGCAGAGAAACAGATAGACAGTTAGACAATGTTTACATATAAAAAGTTAATTTATGCTTATAATCATGTTGTGTACCCCACTGGGTTGCTTGGCACACATTATGGAGATGAATGGATATGGATGGCTGGGAAACACAAATATTAATTTGTATTCAGCCTATCTGTGAAGTGAAATTGTGAAATGTATCCTTCACAGGCTGTATAAGAACAAAGTCTTTCAAATAAAATTCTGCATTATATGTCTGCAGACTTGTTAAACATCTTTTAAACATTCTTATTTCATTTCTTTCGCAAACACTAAGCACTGTAGCATATATTTAGTGACATGTTGGCACATGTGCCAACCAACCCCAAGATCACTTCATAACTTCCTAACATTTTCCACACCATTCAAAAACACCATCTGCCCTTTAGGTTGTGTGAACATTTTATCATGATTGGACCAAATAATAATGGTTAATTAAACACCCTATAAAGTACTTACACTCTCTCCGTCCCGTAGCTCCTGTAGTCCACTGCAGCAGAAACGGCCACTATGAGCGCAGGGATGCCGTATCCGGTCAGGTAAAAATAACGTTTCCTTGAGTGTTCGCTTTCAAACACCTCCACCAGCATGATGTAGAGCTGAACACCCTCCAGAAACATCCAGGTAAACGCCGCCAGGAAGAAGAAGTGCAGCAGGGCCGCAAACACCGCACAGGCAATCTGGAACACACACAGGAGAAGGGTCAGCAGTGCTTAACAGTGCTAATTATTAGTGGCAGTGCACTGGAAGGAGCCTGCACCGCTCTCGCACAAGTCCTCGGCCTAAGTGGACAGTGATGGATGGTGTACATCTCGTCCCGCATTCGTAATCACACTAAAACAATGGAGTTTAAACTCATCAATCATATATGGCACCCTTCCATTAGAGTAACATATACAACACGTGTCCAGTGCCGTACCGAACATACACAAACATACAGAAATGCACATCAATCTGCATCTTTTCAGACTTTCCTGATCCTGTCATGTTGTTTCCACATTTATATTTATTCTAAATGAGTTTTCGTGATTTCAACATGCAATTGGCCTATCCATGCTCTGTCCACAATTATGACCTTTCAGAGCAGTGGTCACAAAAAAACAAAAAAGTGATCTTTGTTTAAAGGTTCTACATAACGTTGAGTTTCCAGTTTAAAATGTTACTGAGCTGGACTGTATTGTTGTAGCTAATTGAAACTAGGCAGGGAACAACAATTAATGCTAACCATGCTAACATTAGCTCAGTAATTCAAACAAAGTGTAGATGGAATTTATCCGAACAGGACAGGCATACAAAACAAATATCACTGAAAATGAATACCACACTCTTATTATAGATATTTTGACAGAAATTGACTTTTTCTCTCATTAGTTTGAATGTGGGTTCTGTAAAGCTTGTCCAACCAAGCAACAGTTGCAAGGACTTTTTTGCATGGACTTTTGCCCTTAAAAGAAGAGCTTGACCACATATGCTAACATGGCTAACAATGAATGAAAGTTAGTACACACCAATTACAAATGTAATTTTCCATACTCCTAACTGGTGGTAATTTGTTTTTTTTTGGTAGCATTTTTGACTAAACCACTCCTTTAAAGTAAAAGTCCCTGTATGCGGTTCCACAATTTCTCAATTTATATTAGCTCAGAGTAGTTACCGAATAATTCAAGGCCATTAGCAAATAATTCACAACAGTTCCTGACTAATTCACAGTAGTTACTGAATTATTAAAAAAAAAGTTAATTAATGATTAATAGTAGTTACTGAATAATTTGTAATAGTTTCTAAAAACATCATATTGGTTACTGAATAATTTAAATTAGGTACTGAATATTTCATAATAAGTACTGAATAACTCAATTGTTTTTGAACAATTCATAGGGGTTACTGAATAATTTGCATCTGTTGCTAAAAAAAAATCATAATAGTCCCTGAATAACTCATAGTAGTTCCTGAATAATTTACAGTAGTAACTGGATTATTCATTATAGGTACTGAATAATTCACAGTAGTAACTGGATTATTCATTATAGGTACTGAATAATTCATAGTAGTAACTGGATTATTCATTATAGGTACTGAATAATTCACAGTAGTTACTGAATAATTCAGAGCAGGTTCTGAATAATACATAGTAGGTACTGAATAATTCACAGTAGGTTTTGAATAATTCACAGCAGGTACTGAATAATTTCTAATAATTACTGAATAATTCATAGTTGGTACTAAATAATTCAGAGTAAGCACTGAATAAATCACAGCAGATATTGTAATAACTGAATAATTACTGAATAATTTGTAATAATTACAGAATAATTCATAGTAGGTACTGACAAATTCACAGTAGTTACTGAATAACACAGTAGTTACTGAATAATTCGCAGAGGTCCTAAAAATACTGAATAATTTCGTAATAATAACTGAATAATTCACAGTAGGTACTGAATAATTCATGATACCCACTGAACAATTCATAGCCGTTACTGCGTAATTCATAATAGACACTGAATAATGCATAGCTGTTACTGAATAATTCATAGTGGATGCTGAATAATTTATAACAATTACTGAAAAATTCATAATAGTCACTGAATAATTCCTAGTAGTTACTGAGTTACTCATACTAGTTCTTAATTCACAGTGGTTACTGAATGATTCATAGCTGTTCCTGAATAATACGGTTTATTAACTGAATATAAAGGGGTTCAGCAGGTACTACTGCTTTTATTTCCTATTAACAGTGTTAGCTGTGTGTGCATGCAGTTCAATGCAGTATAAATTTACAGAAACTAAAATCCAATCTTGGCTTTCTGGCCACTGTTTGGAGTAAATAAAAACAAAGTCATTACCAATAACAGCAGCAGCAACACATGATTCAGTGTGAACTGTTTTTGCCCAGGCAGTTACGCCTTACTGAGCTGTGATCTCATGCTGGATTTGGAAGGAGTCTGTACAGAGATTAGAAGTCAGCGGTGTGAATGGGTGAGCTTGTAGGCAACAGCTGAACAAAGCCAGACGATGATCACTAGCTGATCACGCACTGCTTCACTTCAATATCAGAACTGAAACAGTATCTTTATGCCACTATAAAAACGGTAATGATGTGTAAAAAATGTACATTTATGAACTACAACATAGGAAATGTATGCATTCCACTGTGAATTAGTTATTATCCATCAGATCTGTTTTCATCAGCTTTGTTGCTTAATCCCTTAATTAGCTGCTCACTTATATAATGCAAGAATCACTCAAGTCAGTTTGCACTGCTTGCCATAGCTATAAAGGCTCAGATCTGACCCAATCCTATTTCTTATTTTTTTCAACTGAAGTCAGCTATTCGCCAGCTTCGTGTTAGAATTTTCCCGTTCAGTCTTAAATGCCTGAGGCGCCAGAACGTAACTGCTGCACCATTTAAGGTGGAACAGGAAAGTTAGCTAGTTAGCTACCAAGACATCAGCATACTACTAGCAATGATTTATGCTTGTTATGAAGAAAAGAAGCATAATACTTTGAAATGGCATTAAACTAAGATAATACAAATACAAGGTAATACAAATCACTTCTTGTGATTCTGAGGTCTAGAAGTGTGACTGAGTAACAAATCGGATTTGAAACTACAGAAAATCCCTCCTGCTCAAATATGGATATGCAAACAAATCAGATTCGTGTTGAATGCCCTCAGACGAGCGTGGACTGGCAGGCCGGAAAGGTTGGACAGGGACAAAAAAATCAAATTGGAGCAATAAGGCTTGTAACGCGAACACAGTCAGAGAGCGCAAGAGTGTGTCAGAGAGGTGAAGGCCCCTCTGTGGGCAAAGTTTGTACACCCCCAGTGGGGTTTAAAATGAAATCTGCCCCCCTGGAGTTTAACCCTGACCTGCACTGTTTAACCCTTCAGTGCCCTGTAGAGACCTGCAGAGTTTATTTAAACAGCAGGAGAACTGAAGGACTGATCAATTATTACTGCTCTATAACCTGACACAGGGGCGAGAGACACTCACTGCAGGGGGTTTTAAAGAGAGAGAGGAAGAGAGAGAGAGAGAGAGAGACAGAGAGAGAAAGAAAGAAAAAAAAGGAAGATAAAATAGATAGAGTGAAGAAACAGAATTAAGAGAGAGAAAGAAAGAAAGAGAGAGGAAAAGAGAGAAAGAGTAAAGAGAATAAGAGGGGAAGAAAGATAGAAAAAGAGAAAGGGGGAGGGAAAACAAATAGAGTATAGAAAGAAAAAGAGGAGAGAGGGAGTAAGACAAAAAAGGGACAGAGGGAAAGAGAAAAAGAAGGAAGGGAAAGGAGAAAGAGAAAAAGAAAAGGCGAAAGAGAAAAGAAAGAGAAAGAGCAGAAAATGAGAGAAAAAGAAAAGAGGGGGAGAGAAAAAGGGAGAGAGAGACAGGAAAAAAGATAAAGAGAATAACGAGAGGGGGAGAACAAAAAAGATAGAAAGATAAAAAAGAAGACAAAAAAGAAGAGAGAAAGAAAGAGAAAGAGAAAGAAAAAGAGGAAAAACAGAATAGGGAACGAAAGTGAGAAAGAGAGAGAGGGGGGCAGAAAGAATAAAGAGAAAAAGGGGGAAAGAGAAAGATAGAGAAAGAGAAGGCGGAGGGTGAACAGATAAACAGAGTTAAGAAAGAAAAAGAGGAGAGAGAGAAAGAGAAAAAGGGAGAGAGGGAAAGACAAAAGGAAAGAAGGAAGAGAAAGGAGAGGGAAAGAGAAGATAAAGGGGGAGTGAGAGAAAATGATAAAGAATGAGTCAGAAAAGAGAGAGAGAGGAAAGAGAGAGAGTGGAGAGAGGGAGAGTGGAAAGAGAGAGAGAGGGGCAGAAAATGAAAGAGAGAGAGAGAAAAAAGAATTACAGAGGCCGAGTAAAGAGGAAGAGAAAGGGGGGGCACTGAGGTGCTTATATGCTCATCCCTAACTCCATTCACTCAGAGTGGAGGTCACATGATCTAAATGAAGCCCATCAGCTCGGTCGGCCCAGCAGATTCTCTACTGAGTCTAACAGCCCTTGCACTATAGCTCACACTACCAAACGCCGCTAGCAACAAGCACAAATCAATGTGTTTGGTCTTCAGCTGAGGAGCCTCAGCGGCAGCAGAGCCTCATTTAACCCTATAGATCTACAGTTAATACTGTGACACTGCTGGACTGTCTGAATGCAGTAACAGCAATATAGTGAAATACGCTAAAAGCGGTAATCTGTGGGGTCCAAGCACTTCTTTAAACAGGCCCCTCCCACAAATCTGGGCTATAAACTATAAACAGATGTGTCTCTTCAGTGATTTTCTCTGTAAAAATTATTTTTATAAAATAATACAAAAAGCGCCTAAGGTTTTTGGCTTTCAGCAGTTAATTGTAAGCACATAGCAATATGTGTGATCATAAATTCTGTTAATTTGAGGGGAACTTTTACAAAAAATAAAAATAAATAAAATAAATATTTACATTTATTTCATGCAGTTACTGAATAATTTGCCTTACGATTTGGTCATGTAAATTCAGACGGACAAACCAAAATATACCCTGGAGAATAAGAGGTTAAAGAACCTTTTTTGGTACTATTTAGAATTTTTAGTATTCTTAGAGTATAATTACATAGGTAGTTACATTGTGATATCCATTTATATTTGATTCCATCTATTTGAGTCTGCATTGTCTTCCATTTGTTTTAATGTTAAGAAAAAATCATTAAAGATAATAAAGTATCTTTACTTCCACAAACAAGTGTGGAACGGACTGAGGAAGTTCAGAATTTGCACTTTTCAGAGTTTCTCCACTTTTTCAATGAGCTACAAGTGAGAAATAATTGATATAAAATATAAAAAGGCTGCATTTCTGAATATCTGTCATGTTTTTCAGCTCAAAGAGCAAGAAAAACGTGGAGATGGCAGAAATGCAGGAGGGATGAGATGATGGGAGGAAAGAGAGAGCGAGCAAGAGCGAGCGAGAGAGCTGGATGCTGGTGGTAATGCGTCTGAATTTTTTATGCCGTAAAAACCGCTGATGTTAAACTCCTGAGTGGAGTTTCATTTGGAGTTATAAAGAGGAAAACATATTTATCCTCCTAGCTGAGCCAAATCTCTAACACACACACACACACACACACACACACACACAGGGAAAACCAAGCTTGCAAATGCAGCAACAGACACAACAAAGAAAAATAACCAACAAACAAGGCAGATGCAAACAACAGCAGAGTCAGTGAGCTACTCCTGCTGCAAATGTAATTTGCTAACAAGCAGCCAGCGCTTGAAGAAACAGCTTCAGGAAAGCCACAAACTGTGTTAGTGGACTGTACACTTTATTGGAAACCCCTAGCTCATCTGTTGATGCACCTTTGTGTTAGCCATCCTGGAGCCCTTCATATTTTTGCGTGGTGGTCCACACAACCAAGTCAGTGAGAGAGACCACACAAATGATACCCAGGCAAAAGACTCTCTTAACTTCTCTTAACAACACATATCCTAAAAAAGAAGAGTCTTGAAAGTGGTCTATATGTGTATCTGATGTGTGTGCTTCTTACGGGCTGGTCAGCGCGGTTGATGCCTGTTAGGAAGAGTGTTTCAGCAATGAAGAGTGAGACGCAGAGGTTCTTGTGGATGGTGTTGCGGTCACTCTGCAGGCCCCGGAAGAAGCAGAAGGTGAAGATGCAGATGAGCAGACAGACGAGGGAGAGTAAAATCCCCACCCACGTGATCACGTCCAGCAAGAGGTCATGCACCGGGTCAGCGTTCTGTTACAGAGAAACACAGAGAAGCAGAGAAAGAGAGATATGAGTAACATGACTATATCTAAACTGTATCTGACTGCAAATACAAGCCATTAATACACTTGATTGATTATGGAGGTTTTGTGAATATTTCAGAAATGTTGAACGTAAGTAAACAAAAAAGCTTGTACTTCCATTGTTGTGTTCAGTGTCTAATAATAATTAGTTGCAACAATCTATTACTATTTTTATTACATTTATTACTATTATTATTAGTTCTTGAACCATTCAAAAGCATCTAAGCTTTGTTTTCAGCTTTGTTTTTTCTATTACACTGTTTTGTTTATTATAAGTCTTTAATCAATCAATGCATTGATTAGAGTAAATGTGATTTAAATTTCTTTTATACATTTTCATATATAATTAAGAGAGTAATGTCACAGCAGAGGACTACAGTAAAATAAATAACAGTACAATAATATTAACAGAAATGCTAAAAAAATCCATTGACCTGAATAGGTTCTGAAGCAATAGCTTGCAAATGTTAAACTTTCAGTTAAAAAAGGTCTACAAAAAAGTTCTCCGGACATGCGATATGTCAGCTACCGAAACACAAAGGTAGCAAATAAATTAAATTAATTCACACCGAAATAAAATAATAATAATAAAAATAGCAGTCAGTATATCATAATACTAAAGATATTCCAAGAAACTCAAGCACCTGAGACAGCACTCAGCGATGACAGAGGCAGTATTGCACAGTTCCTGGAAATATAAAATGCATTGTGCAATTCCAGGAAACTGCACAGTTCCAAGTGCTATAAGATGTATTGCACAGTAAAAATCCATCTGTGGCGCATTAGTCATGAGCATATCTACTAACAGATCTCTGTTGCCCAAGCGCAGCCTCAGTGCTGATGAGATATAAGGCCTAATAACAGTCAGAAAGAATGGCCTCCTGCAGCGCTTCACTGTGGCTGGATCAGTCTTTAGCTAATTGCACTATTCTGCCATTTGGAGACCAAGAGAAGACCTAATGATGTCTGTATTTAATAGAATCATCACACTTGAAGCTCTGCAATGATTGCAGTACTGCTCCTTTTCATTGTTAAGCTTTGGTTGGAAACAAAATCTTGACACAGCAAACACAATGTTATCAGAATATTCCTACCCATGGTAACAACCAAGTGAGCTCTTCCATTGTTTAAGACTTCAGGAGCTGAACTGAAGGCATTACATTAGATACTATTTAGGAAGTGACATTGGAATCAATCACATTTTGATTTACGATGGATGGAATCAATTTAGTCAGGAAAAAGTGTCACTACAGGACTTCTGACTGTGAATACAAGCTGCAGTCTAAGGCTTTAGTCAGTTGTTAGAAATGGAAAGCAGCAACGGCAGCTCTATGCCAGGATTTGTTACTGAAGGAGTCACTGTAAAAGTTATATATTTTAAGGCACAATGTATGTTAATGTGTGTGTTACAGCCTGAACTGAAAGTCTAGCTTTAACATCTAACATCTCTAACACTTAACAGTCTAACCCTTTACCTCCAGTACAAACCCAACCAAGAGATAGCAAAACAAGAGTTAGCAAAAACAGAACAGGCAGAGAACATCTGTCATGGCATTTTATGTGACCATTTTGTTTTCAGGCTTTCTGTGAACCTCTAAACATTCTTCAGATGTTGGAACGTGGTAATTAAAGATAGAGGCACAGAGCAGATGATTTATTAGAGCAGCTCTCAGATTCAGTGGACACTCTCTGATTTCCCCCTAGACTCCTGGGTAGGGTCCCTATGGAGGGTGCTCACAGAGGGAAAGAGTGAATGACTGATATCAGCACACATCCCACAAAGCTTTGGGGACTGGATGGGAGTCTCTTGGTGGTTTGAGTCTAACACTGCTCATGAATATTAATGAGGGGAAGAGGGGAAAGGAAACAGGAAAACAGGGCTAATTTACAGAAGCACAAAAAGGCTACAGACCCATTATATATATATATATATATACACACATACATACATACACACACACACTGACCAGCCTCTTCATTATGTCCACCTCCTTGTATCTACACATACTGTCCAGTTTATCAGCTCCACTGACCATACGCAAAATGTATGTATATAGAACCAAAAGTATTCTCTGCATACTTTTCTAGCCCCTTTTACCCTGTTCTTCAGTGGTCAGGACCCCCACAGCACTACCACAGAGCAGGTACTATTTGGGTGGTGGATTATTCTCAGCACTGCAGTGACACTGACGTGGTGGTGGTATGTTAGTATGTGCTGCGCTGGTACGAGTAGATCAGACACAGCAGTGCTGCTAGAGTTTTTAAACACTGTATCCACTCACTGTCCACTCTATAAGGCACACCTACCTTGCTAATCCAGCTTGTAGATGTAAAGTCAGAGACAGTACCTCATCTGCTGTTGTACAGTTTGTGTTGGTCATCCTCTAGTCTTTCATCACAGGACACTGTTGGCTGGATATTTTTGGTTGGTGGACTATTCTCAGTCCAGCAGTGACACTGAGGTGTTTAAAAACTCCAGCAGCACTGCTGTGTCTGATCCACTCTTACCAGCACAACACACACTAACACACCACCACCACATCAGTGTCACTGTAGTGCTGAGAACGATCCACCAGTAATACCTGTTCTGTGGTGGTCCTGCATCTTGACCATTGAAAAGTAATTCGGAGAAATACGGAGAAACAGATGGACTACAGTCTGTAACCGTAGAACTACAAAGTGCAACTATATGGTCAGTGAAGCTGATAAAATGGACAATAAGTGTAGAAACAAGGAGGTGGTTATAATGAAGTAGCCAGTCAGTCTACATATATATGACTCCATGTCCATACACTGTATAAAAACAAGCTAGAATGTGTGTGAAAATATTCAGGTGTAGTCACTGACTGAACTATTTTTTAAAAGGTATCCTGTTGTTTTTGCCCTGGCACACACTTATTCTCCAGCCCCAGGAGACAAGGCATACAGGAGAGAGAGATGGAGAGAGAGAGAGAGAGAGAGAGTCTGAAAGATAGCGTACAGAAGATAAATTCCTCTCCCAGGTCCACTTGTCCCAGTGCTGCATATCTCCTCTGTATCTAATACTGCCTGAAAGTATGTTGTGAACACATAGAGCTGTGAGTAAATCAGGCATTACGCCTACTCAGCACAATTTACATTGAGGCCAGTCCTCTCTGACTTTATAGAAACCTACGCTCCCCCCGACGCCCCCCGCCCACACAAACACAGCATGTGCTGCAGTGTAAACATATAGATCTGCATTCAGTGAAAAACCAAAGACTACAGCCCCCCCTCGCCCTGCCCCCCTAAGGGGTGTAATAGAGTCTGAGGGTCTGTAGAGTGTACTGTGGCTGCAGAAGGCCTAGAGGAGTTCAACCTGCTACTGTAGAAACTAATGAAGAAATACAGCTCGCTCTCTCTCTCTCTCTCTCTCTCTCATCTATGCTTCTCTCTCTCACTGTCTCTCTCTCGCTCTCATCTATGCTTCTCTCTCTCACTCTGTCTCTCTCTCTCTCTCTCTCTCTCTGTGTGTGTGTTCTCTCTCTGTTTCTCGTTCACTGTCTGCCTGTCTCTCTCTGTCTCTCTTTCATCTGTTGTTCTCTCTCTCATCTGTTTCTCTCTCTATCTCTTTTTGATCTCTATTTATCTCTCTTTTTTTCCCCTCTTTGTCTCAAGCTTCCTCCCCCCACACCTCGCTCTTTCTCATAAGTCTCTCCCCCATTCAGCCCTACTAAACCTACACACACTCACACAGTGCACGTTTGTACCCAGACGCTGAACTGTGGACACGCGAGTCTCTCGGTGTAATAAACAGCTCTGCAGGGCTCAGAGAGAGGAACAGACTACTCTGTGTGTTTAGGTCTAGACTTTAAAGCTTTAACGATATATTAGTCACTCCGTCTCTATTCACATCCTAATCACAGAGGAACACACACAGGACACGACTACAGCAACACATACACACAAACATACTCAAAACATAACAGCTTGAAAAATGTTTTGCATGGATTTGTTCAATTCCATTACATACAGCTACACAGTGGTTGTAAAGGTGTTGCTAGGCCATTGCTATGGTATCCCATGCGGTTGCTAAGATGGTTGCTAGGTCATTGTATGTTATCCCAAGTAACTGATAAGGTGTTGCTAGGCCATTGATATGGTATCACAGGTGGTTGCTAAGGTGTTGCTAGGCCATTGGGATGATATCCCAGGTGGTTGCTAAGGTGTTACTAGGCTATTGGTATGGTATCCCAGGTGGTTGCTAAGGTGTTGCTAGACCAATGCATGTTATCCCAAAGAGTTGCTAAGGTGGTGCTAGGCCATTCCTATGGTATCTCAGGTGGTTGCTAAGGCGTTGCTAGGCCATTGCATGTTATCCCAAGGAGTTTCTAAGGTGCTGCTAGGCCATTGGTATGGTATTCCAGGTGATTGCTAAGGTGTTGCTAGGCCATTGGTATGGTATTCCAGGTGATTGCTAAGGTGTTGCTAGGCCATTGGTATGGTATTCCAGGTGATTGCTAAGGTGTTGCTAGGCCATTGCATGTTATCCCAAGGAGTTTCTAAGGTGCTGCTAGGCCATTGGTATGGTATCCCAGTTGGTTGCTAAGGTGTTGCTAATCCATTGCATGTTATCCCAAGGAGTTGCTAAGGTGGTGCTAGGCCATTGGTATTGCTCTCTCTGGCGGTTGCTATGGTATTGCAGTTAGATTTGAACTTTCTCAAAACTCTGCCATTCATTTCCTGAGGGGAGCACAAGGGCACTATTCCAGCATAGCCTCTGCAGTCTTGCAACATTTTATGTTTCTAGCTTGAGAACTGCGACCTGTGAAAAGGGTACAAAAAAAAATAAAAATAGAAAAATGGTAAGATGACTAACAACAGTACCAAAAACAGACACTGCTACTGACTGTACACAGAGCTAAACTGCTGTAAACCGAATGGGCGGCCATATGGAAATGTGCTAATGGTTGTGATGTCACGACCATG